ACAAATTGTTGATGAAAATAGATCTGAAAAATTATATGTTTAATACGGAGTTCCACAAGGATCTGTGTTAGGTACTCTTTTATTCATAATTTTTAATAACTGCGTATCTTTTATTGTAAATAAAGAAAATTTACTCATATTTGCCGACTACACTTCATATCTTTAATCTAAGTGCCCAAAATATACTAAATATTCTTATGCAGTGGTTTAAGAAAAAAAAGCTTTCAGTATATACCGATAAAACTGCTTTTATGAACTTTCAATTTAAAAAGTCGCAAAATCTGGAAAGTCAACTGTTAAAAATCAACAACAAAGTTGTTTGTTTGTTACGTTTCTTATAGGCTCAATAGCCTAGTTAATAGAAGCGTTATTATTTCATATTATTATTATTTTGGGGATATAGAAGTATTTAAAATGCAAAAGAGAGCCGTACGAAACTGGTTAGTAATTATATTATGGAGGTATTACTTTTTGTTAAAAGTAATTTATCCTTATTCATAACCAACACAGATCCCGGAATGACTACAGGATTCCTAAACACAGTACTAGCACATATGAGCAAAATCCTGTATATATTTATAAGTCCGGCATTAAAATCCATAAACAATATAAATATCCATAAACAATATAAATATATAATATAAATAAACTACACCAGTTTTTAATTCAAAAATCTTTTGACAGTGTTGGGAAATACCTGAATATGTAAATTTAAAATAATTGTTTTTTGTTTTAATTTAGTCTTAATATTGTGTAATTATACTGTGTAGCCTGGACTAATCCAATACCTTTGCAGGTCATTTGTGGACAATAAATTACTTTACTTTACTTTTGTTTTTTTGTATTTTAGGGTTAGTTTTTAGGTTTTGATTATTAGTAATTATGTTTTGTGCACTATGCACTTTGGTGCATCGACTGCCAGTTCGATCGACTGGCGGGGTTGATTTTTGAAATCGACAGAGAGATTCTCTCGCTTAGTTTATTGTTATTTGTTGTACCTATGTAGTTTTGTTTGGCTGAGACTGCTCCTTTGCCACAGATTGTTGTTGTTATTTGTTGTTTTTTCTGTCGTCGCTCATTTTCATCAATTAAACTTTTATATACGGATCTTGGTTATTTTTTGCATAGCTGTATTTATTAGCGGATATAAATGGTCTTAAGGGCAGTGAACATTTTAACCTACACTGAGAAAAAAGTTTATTGCTCCCAAATAAAAAAAATATTTAAATATAGGACAAGGGTACAGTTTATTTATCCTAAATATATTTTTATTCCCGACACATAGTTTTACTAATGTATATTTATCGTTATTATTTCGACTATTTAGAGGTAATAAACAATATATTCACTATTAATAAAAGTATTAGCTACACAGTTTATTTGTCCCATTTTTTTCTCTTATAAGATGCTATGCCATCACAGACGCACACATCCAACTGATATTTTTAACCTATTAGCAAGGACCGGATTTTAGGCAAATTGCCTTTTCGTTTCTATTTCAGGCATTTGTTTGGGACCTTGATATTAATCCTAAACTTAAAAAAATAAAGCGTTTGACACCACGTTGTTTTTGCCTAAAAGCCTAAAATGGCGAAATTTTGATTTAGGCTCCTAAAAGGACATTCTTATGAGCCTAAAATATGCTCTTTTAATTTTTCAGAAAAAACATATTTTTCAATGCGAAAAATTAAATTATTTTTAATTAGGCCCTGCTTTCTTGCTCTTATTTCGCCTAGACGGCCTTGGAGAGTAAGAGGACCACAAATTACAAAACTAGTGAAAATCTAATGAAAAAAGTAATTTTGTTTTTGTTATTTCTAAATATTTATTATAAATAATTATGGATAATATTAAGTTTCTAAAATAATGGTTAAACATTATTATTTACTTTGTTTTCATAGGTTTTATTGTAATTTCCATATTACGTTGTGTTAACCTGTTCTGTTTGTTTATTATTGTTTTTGTGTTGCGTTAACTTGTTTTGTTTGTGTTTTAGTTTTAAAGTGCTCTTTTAAAGTGCTCTTTTAGTTCCACCCTTACATCCAAACTAAGATGTCCCATCGATTCCCGAAAAACTTTGATTTGTGCAAACAGTGGTTAAATGCCATAAAAAGAATAGACAATATTAACGTTAAGACCGCTTCTGTTTCCTCTAAACATTTTCTGTACAGTGACCTTAAGTTTAATTTAAAACACAAACTCTTAAACTACTGTCCGAAATGTTATTAAGGACTGAAAGCATCTATTATCCATATTAAAACACTTTCTTTAATATTAAGTTTAATAAAAATTATGTTGTTTTTATTTTATATCGCCTATTTTAGGCGGTTGAGGCCTATTTTTGGCACTTTGGGCCTAAAACGGCCTAAAATGTAGGTTTTTATTGCCTAATTGTGTCCTAATTTCCAATTTTTAACGGCCTAAAATCCTATTTTAGGCGGTTGAGGCCTATTTTTGGCACTTTAGGCCTAAAACAGCCTAAAATGTAGGTTTTTATTGCCTATTTAAGTCTCCTAATTTCCAATTTTTAACGGCCTAAAATTCGGTCTTTGCCTATTAGTATATATGGTTAATAACTATTAGTTATAGAGCGTGCGTAAGCAGCGGTAATAGGTTTGGCAACTATATTTGTTTATTACTTTGTTAATTCATAATTCTAAGGACGTTTGTGATTGATGGTATAGTTAAATACAGTGAGGACGCGTGGGTTGGAACAAATTCATTTAAAATTCAGGGATTTGTTTTTTGAAAAAACGCTCAGACACGTCAATTTTTATTTTTAGATGCAGTTTTTTTAATAGTAAACTCACTTATACAGGATTACCCAAAAATAAGTTACGACCATCACCTTCATTTTTTTAAATGGAAACCCCTATTTATAATTTTATTTTTAAATTTTGCATCGAAGTCTAAGTATGTTTTATGTACCATGTCCTATACCTAAATTAAACAGTTATCGAGAATTACGAGTGAACATAATAAAATACCGTTTTTGTGAGGATTTTTGTGTATCGAGCAAAACATTTAATTTTAAGTTTATTTTAATTGGTTTTTTAATTCTGGTACTTTTTATTGTCGACTGTATGATAATTTTATTTCAAATAAGTAATTTTCAAGTGCAGTTAAAAGGTTTGAAATAATGGCGCGTTTAACTGAGAAGCAGAGAATAGAAATTTTGATGATGGTAGGATATGGCGACAGGACTTGAACACAAGGTAAAGTTTGCGAAATGTTTAATAACAAGTACCCGGAAAGGCCCATTACACGATCGGTAGTTAGTAAGATTGAAAAAAAGTTTAGAAACTTTGGCCACGTAAGAGACAATTATAAAACCAACCATCTTCCAGTTCCAGAAAACAAACAATTGGATGTTTTGCTCGATTTACAAGAAAATCCTCATAAATCAACTCGATAAGTAGCTGTAGAACAGTCAATAAGTAAATCTTCTGTTTTAAAATATTTACACAAGAACAAATGGCACCCATATAAAGTACATTTAGTTCAGGAACTTATTGAAGATGATTTTGACCGAAGATTAGAATTTTGTGAAATTATGATGGATAGATGCAATGCCAACCAGCAACTTTCAAGGAAGATAGTTTTTTTCCGACGAGGCAACATTTTACTTAAATGTTCCGGTAAACAAACAAAATTTTCGATATTGGGCACTAGAAAACCCACATTGAAGTATGGAATGTCGTACACAGTTCCCCCAGAAAGTAAACGTATGGGCCGGAATTGTGGGTACCTCAATTGTGGGTCCCTTTTTTATTGAGGGAACACTTAATTCTGAAAAGTATTTAGACCTACTACAAAATTACATAGTACCCAGTTTAAATGTACTTTACCCGAATGATGAAAACCCAAATATACCGGCAGATTCAATATGGTTCCAACAGGATGAAGCGCCCCCCCACTATTCGCTAACAGTAAGTGATTATCTTAACAATATTTTCCAAAATAAATGGATTGGAAGGAGAGGGTTTATCGAATGGCCAGCTATCTCTCCAGATCTAACCTCATTAGATTTTTATCTGTGGGGTTATCTTAAATCCAAAGTCTACATCAATAAACCCGAAAATATTGAAGAATTGAAGAATAGAATAAGAGCCGAAATACAACAAATCCAGCCACAAACGTTAACTGAAGTGGTACGAGAATTTGAAGATCGACTTGCCTATTGTCAGGAAGTTAATGGTCATCAATTTGAACATTTAATTTGATTTGTTGTTCTGTTTTTTACCAAAATAAAAAATCCTTAGAATACTGTCTTTTATTATGTTTAATCTTAATTCTCGATAACTGTTGAGTTTAGGTATAGGACATGGTACATAAAATATACTTAGAATTTGATGCAAAATTCAAAAATAAAATAAAAAATAGGGGTTTCCATTTTAAAAAATGAAGGTGATGGTAGTAACTTATTTTTGGGTAATCCTGTATACGTGAGTTTACTTAAAAAAAAACCGCATCCAAAAATAAAAATCGACGTGTCCGAGCGTTTTTTCAAAAAACAAATCCCTGAATTTTAAATGAATTTGTTCCAACCCACGCGTCCTCACTGTACTAATAATATTAATATTACCTTTATTTCTGAGGATACATAAATACATGTATAGAAAACGTCAAAACTATCCCAGCAATCACAATCTTTCTCAGATTCATAGAAACAACCCCAGAAACTGAAATGATCTAGTTAGTATATTTCAATAATAAAAAATCATAATTTTTTCCCTCAATTTAAGGAAGAAAAAACATTTTATATTTTAAAAGAATTTTTATTATCTGTATTTTAAAGCTTATGATGTTTTAATATTTAAATTATTTATTTATAATTATAATTATTATTATTAACATTAGACGATTTATATGATAATATTTGCCAAGCTATCTATAGTAGGATTTTAATTTATTGTTATAAAACATGGTTATTTGATAGCTATTTACGTTAATAGTACTGATTAACTAGTTCTCTTTTTTAACAATATAATTCATTTTAGGGAGGATTTAAAATACAGCTTTTAGATGAATTGGAAAGACCTGTATTGGATTTGACACCTACAATACAGGGAACAGAATACGTTTCAACAGATGCCACGTAAGTATAGTATAAAAGAATATTTGCAATTATATGATAATTCCTTATATTTGAGGAGGTGCATTCCAAAACTCGGCTTATCCATATTGGGTGATTTTGAGAAAAATGTCAAACACCTTACACTTGAGTACTAACGCATATCAGGCCAAGGAAATATATAGGCATAAGTATAAAATTTATATACCTTGATTAAAAAGGTATAGCTCCAATTTGAAATAATTTAAAATTACATACGTATAAGCCAGTTCTGACATGATATAATCTATAGATAAGGCAAGTTTTGGAACAATAGTCAATTTGTAAATGAATTTTAAATATAATAAGGTGGCGTTTTAGAATATTATGACCTTTATTATATTAGAGACACCACTTACTTATTTTTATTAAAAAGTGGATAAGCCGAGTTTTGGAATGGACCTCCTCATTTGTAATGATATGAAAATATGTTAGTTTACCCATTTAGTTTTTAAAGCTCTCTCCAAAAATCAGCTCGATTAAATTGGATTTCTTTTTTAATTTTTTTGGTCGCTACTGTAAACTTTTGAACAAGGAAAATAAAGTTTCAGCTCAAAATATGATTTTTAAAGGTGGCTCATTAAACATTAAAATAACAAAAATAAAATATTTTTTTAAAACCATTTAATTTAAAACTACTTGCCGGTAACTCCTGGCTATTTGTTTATAGACTAATAGTAGAACTGTTAATTTGTATTTTCTACATATAGGTTTTTGTTAATGTTTTTATTTAAACAAAAATATTTCATTATTTACTATTTGCCGAACGCGTCCTAATATGGGGTACCAAAATATTCCTAATATGGGGTACCTCATTTTAACGCCATATGACTTATGACGTCAATATGACGTGCGATGCTACTTGGTTTGTTTAGGTTGTAATATAATTTAATTTGTTTAGTCGTTAAAAAAATCTACTAGACAACGTTTTAATGTGAATCTGTACATCATATATTATTTATAACTATGATTTTTATATCAATAAAATTGTAAAGTTACCTTTTATTTTTCTTTATTTTTTTTGTACTATGCACCAGATATTTTTTCACGTAGGTTATACCAGAACTTCATAATAGGCTACCCGGTAGCCTTATATGGGGTAGACACAGAATATTTAAATTATTGTTTTACACAAAAAATATAATGTTTGAAGGCTTTTTTATCTAGTTATCTTACTGGCATATTAAAGAACCAACGTTGCCGAACTGAAAATAAACAAAACTAAATAAAGAAAATAATTACAAAAATTAAAATGGTACCCCATATTAGGCGACTGTAACCGTCATTTTGACAGTTACCCATTGATTTTATTTTATTAGTTTTTGTACATCTATAACGGTATAGATGTGAACTGTTAAGTGGTTTATTTTTAGTTTGACTGTTTTTTTGTTTAAATAATCTTCTACGCACTTAACAAGGTTTACGCTTGATCGCTGAAGCCGTTTGGTTGGGAGTAAGCTTTGGCTTAGAATTTGGATAGAATTCCAAAGATGTATAGTAATTCTCCTGGTTATGAATACTCAGGGGAGTTAATAGTTTTTTTTGAGTGTATCTATTTCTATTACACACGAGGTTTTCCATTTCAGTCAGCGATGTGTTTCATTCTGCAGTTTTGTTGAGCTATTTCCATCGTTTGGAAGGTTAATTTTTGAAGATTAAAAACCTCTTAGACCAAGGGTAAGTTTGACGTTTTGTGGTTTTTCAGGATGCTTAGGCGTCATACTATTTTTTTAGGGTTTTAAGTCACTGTTTTAAGTACATGTTTTAAGTCATTGTTTTAAGTACATGTTTTAAGTCACTGTTTTAAGTACAAGTTTGCTGGTCTTGAATACAGATTTTTTATGTTGGAGTTTTTTTGTAAGACTTTTTATGTTAGATTTGTTGTGAAGGAATGTTTTTTTTACCCTGAACTTGTTTTGTATAATGGCAAGTTCTTACGTTACTGAAAAGCCATCCTGGAAAATCTAACATAGTGGGAGACTTCATGTTGCAACACCGGAATCCAACCTATGTGGAAGCACACTCTACCAGGGCCCCAACTGGGTTCAGGTCGTACCACTCCTTATACATTTGTGTACTTTTGAGTCGAGAGTTTGACATAGTCTTCAACTTTTAAATTGTAGTTATTTTAAATATATTTTTTTTATCATCGATAATATTTTATCTGTTAATTTAGTCTATTAGACTTTGGTTTTTGTAAACCATATATGGCCATATAAGGGTGCACCAAAATTATAAATCGAACAAATATTTAATATTAGATAAAAAATTTTATCTTAAGTGATCACTTTAACATCGGTGAAACAAATATATCTTTGATTTTTTTTTAACTTTTAATAACCGCCTTTAATCTTTAGTAAGATAGTGTCTGACTTACTTAGACTTTACCAACTGGCCCAAATAAGACACTGGCGCCCAATTTTGGATTTAATTTAGTAAACACACCTAAGTATTGAGAAACAACATTTGCCTATCTCTCCGCTGCTAAGCTGCCGTTCGCCATAGCCCTCAAGTTGAGGTTACACGACTTTCCTCTAAGCCCCTTTTTTTCACCCTTCTACACCCGCATGCGTTTAGTATGCCTATATATTAAGTATTTGTCGAATTGGGTGCCCTGTTCTTATTTGTTGATTTACCATTACATACTGCTCTAATGTTTACGTTTGTGCCGATCGTGGTAGAACTGTTCTCGGTGCCTGTCGCTGTTTTGGCCATACCTTTAAGATACTGTCGTAGTGGTTATGGGTACCTAATGTGCCAAATCTGTAGCGTACTGCTATTGTAGGCGGCTATAGTTGTCGTGACGAATGTTTCAAATTGTATCATCAAATTCTGAACCAAGCACAGACATTTCAATTATTGTGGTTTTCTTTTACGTATATAATCCAAGAAACCGATAGGTTAACCGTATGTCGAGAAATTGGTTTTTGACATTCGACATTGATGACACAATTTGAAACATTCGCCGCGACGACTATAGTGTTGTTTACACCCCTACCCAAAAGCCGTTTTTGCCGTGGTGGTTCAAGTACGCATTGATGTCCATTTTTGTCTCTTGTTTTGTTTTACTAGAGTTGTGTGTTAAGCGGAAAAAATGCTCTTGGAGTTGTGTAGGTAATGTTGCAAATTTACGTATTAGGTCATGCGGTCACAAGAGTACTTATCGGTTTTTGCAGATGATGCCCCTTTCCATTCTTGGTTGGCCTAGTTTGTTTTTAACATAAAATCCTATTGTCAGGTGGTTTATCCGCCAGGTATGCTGTCACTTATCACTGCTCACTTCCGTGACCCTAAGGTGGCCTTTGATTCACTAAAGATACAATGCACTAGTTTATTTACACTGTAAGACTGGTTTATTTTGTGGGTTGAGTAAGGTCTTGGTTACGCTAGGTCTTTCCTCGTCCGGAGTTCGAATGTTCGAACGCGATATGGGGAGATATTAAAATATAAAAAAAATATATATTTTTCTGAGAATGACTCTTGGAGATAGTTCTTTCATGCAAAAGAAATATTTCGAAAAAAATCAGAAACCTCTTTTCACCCAGAAAAACACAGAAGTAGTTTAACAAAAATAAAACCGACACAAACCCTTGCAAATGTGGACAAGCGTTTTTAGGTAAAACTAGCGGTCAGGATCAAAGAACATAAAACACATACAATAAAAGGAGAAACTTTAAAGTCTGGCTTAGCAAAGCATGCATGGAAAGAATATTATAAATATATATAAAATTTATAAATTTATATTATAAATATTTAGTAGTTAAGTGTTTAGTTAGTTTTATAGTTTCTTAGGGCCGGTTTTTCAATCGTTGGTTAAGTTTATCTTACGGATAATTTCCTTAGATACTATTGTTAACACAATAGTATCTAAGAAAGTTAACCTTAAGATAAACTTAACCAACGATTGAAAAACCGGCCCTTAGTGTTTTAAGTGTAAGAATTTTAGATTAATACTTTTTAAATAGTGTATTTTTAACAATTTTTTTATGTCCAGATACACACACAAACAAATAATTTAATCATTTAAGTGTATTTTAGCATTTTTTTTAATTACCTTTACAATTCTTCCTATTTTTATTATTTAATATTATTATTATTATATTGTTCCAAAATGTTTGTAAGATTCTTAACATTCGCCATCCGCAGTCTGATGGAATGGTAGAACGAATAAATCGAACGATAAACCGGTACCTGTCCAAGGTAGTCTCTGATCACCAAAGAGACTGGGACCACTTCCTTCATCTGTTCCTGTAGGAGTACCGTTCTTCTATCCACTATAAAACCGGCCAGACACCCGCTAGCACTATTATGGGACGTGAACTTTGTCTACCTTGTGACCTGAGGTTTGGTTGCCTACCAGGGGAAGATATTGCTGGAGAAGATTACGTTAGCAATTTATGTAGGAAAATGAGCGACATTCACAGCCGAGTTCGTTTAAACATCCAGAGTGCCAGTGATAGAATAAAAGAGGCATATGATATCAAGGCGGAAAATGGAGGATTTCAACCTGGATACCTAGTTTGGTTATACAACCCTCAGCGCCGGGTCACTGTTTCGGCCGATTACTCCTTGGCTCACTGTGTTGCAGAAGACCTTAGGATGTCCAGGGGGATAGCGGTTGTATTTAAAAACAAGGTTGGACGGGTCGACGATCTACGAAGGCAGAATCCCAAAGTTGGAGAGGTGCTTGAAATTGTGGATAATGAGCAGATAGGCAACATAAGTATCTTCTATCTGGTAACGAAGCAGCTCTCCCATCAAAAGCCGTGACGTATGGAATGCCTTAAATAAATTGAGGGATATCCTTTTGTCCAAGGACATCATGAACCTGGGCATACCGAAGATGGCTTGTGGACTGGAGAATAAACCCTAAAAGTGTAGTGTAAACGAACCTTAATGTATCTTAATTATTAGATAAGTAAGTTATCAGTATTACCGACATGGGCTGTGACAGTTGCTGGCGTCGTACAGAAATGTTCTAGAAA